AGGCAGAAGCTCTTCCCTGTGAGGGTGCTGAGGCGCTGGCACAGGGTGCCCAGAGAAGCTGTGGCTGCCCCATCCCTGGCAGTGTTCAATGCCAGGTTGGACACAGGGGCTTGGAGCAAGCTGCTCTGGTGGAAGGGGTCCCTGCCCATGGCAGGGGTTTGAATTGGGTGAGCTTTAGGTCCCTTCCAGCACACACCAGTCTAATTCTATGATGATAGGTAAAGCAAATGCCATGCACGCTTCCTGTGGTCAGGGAGGAGTTCAGCCACGAGGACACCAGGGCTCCATAACGCAAAAGGGTGACTTGGGAAGACAAAGGCCATCACTCCCAACATCCCTTCTTCCTTCTTCTCCTCCCAAGCTCTATACACTGAGCATGACCCCATATGGTGTGGGATATCCCTGGGGTCAGTCAGGGCCAGCTGCTCTGGCTGTGTCCCCCCAGCTCCTTGTGCCCCCCCAGCCTGCTCTCTTGTGCGGTGGGGTGAGGAGCAGAAAAGGCCTTGGCTCTGTCTGTGTGAGCACTGCTTTGCAGTAACAAACACATCCCTGTGTTATCAACACTGTCTTCAGCACAGATCCAAAACATAGCCCCACAGTAGCTACTATGAAGAAAACCAGCTCTACTCTAGCCGAAATCAGCACACCTTGCAGACACGACACAGGAGAAGCAATGGGAGTTTCCTGAGTGGCTTCTTTTCCTTCTCCCAGCACCGTTTCATGGAAAACACAGAAAAGCCTTTGATTGTCAGAGCTCTCCAGAAGACATGCTCCGTTTTTTACTGACCTCTCCCATTTTTTTGGCTAAGCTCCATTTACTCACCGCTTTGGGAAGCAGAAACTCAGTATAGAAGTAGAAATCTCCCTGCTGTCACGCTCAGTCCAATGGCTTGTTCTTTTCAGAGGGGCTCATCGCTGGTGTGAGTGGCACCATCTCAGCAAAGGAATGTACAAGTTGGGAGCCTGAGCACACAGAGCCATCCTCACCCACCTCAATGTACTTGCCTGTCAGTGCTGAGCCCACCAGTGGTGCCATCTAAATGGGGGATGCTCTGGAAAGGTGCATTGGTGCATCTTTATAATGTGCACTTGCACAAGCCAGGGACATCCTCCATGGCAACTTCCCTGCCCATGGGTGAAGCATCCCATGCAGCTGGCAATATTGCCCATCCCTGCAACGCCCTGGTATATCCCAGAGAGTTCACGATCCCAGTAATGGTGTCCCATCCCTTTATCTTCTGAACAGCGCATCCTCTGCAACCAAGGCCTTGAGCCTGACAGCGTTTATCTTCTCCTGAAATTCAGGATGAGCAGAGTTACACAGCTGGAACGTACTTCATCCGCACCCTGATATGATGCGCCATAGCCTTGTCCTCACATCAGTGGTTCATGACTGAGCCCTCAGCCTCCATCCCCAGTCTTTGGTGCAACACAGATGTGTTTGTGTTTTTTCCTTCTTTGTGGCTGCAGCTGACACCCACCCTCCACCCCTCCAGAGGAAAAGGCCACTTCGACACTCAGGTTGTACCCTCAGGAGAGCACAGCCGAGCAAAGCGTCACCAAGAGGCTGTTGAAACAACTCGTGCTCAGAAATGTGACCTTCAAATTATTTGCTTAAACTCCTGAATGTAGAGGGAGGAGAGTGCGCTTCCAGCCGTCTGCATGTGTGCTGACAGGGGAAATACGGGCTAATTTCTGCCTCCGGTTGCTCCCTGAGCTGATTCCCCAGAAGCACTTGGTATTAAGTTTCCCTCCTGGATCTCTGTGACATTATTACCAACAGTGGGCACTCAGGTGTGCTGGGAGGGGAGGAAGAGCCATGAACAGAGATGTCAATTTCAGCACCAGCAGGACAAAAGAAAACGCGTGTTTGCTGAGCAGGAAGGGTTCCAGAGCCCGGCAGAGCCGGGAGGAGAAGGAAAAGCTGTGAGCCTTTAGAGAAAGAACTATAGAAAATATTGATGATGCTTTTTAGGGCTTGTCAAAGCAGCAAAGAGCATTCCAGCGTTTGTACCTGCGGCCTCACAGGGATTTGACTTCGGATTCACAATTGTATAACGTGTTTTGCAGCCCGGGTTTAAGCGGGGGCTGAGGTAAGTGGATCCAGGGCCATTGTATTGTTGGGGAGAGGAATGTGGTTTTGTGCTCTTGATAGAGGTGGAAATTTGCAGCAGGGCAGGTCTGGGCTGTGGGGGGATTAGATCAGTATCAGCTGCCAAAGCTCCCTGAAGGCAAATTGAATTTTTCACAGAAAAAGAGGAAGAAAAAGCCCTGTGACTTCGCTGCAACTTAATCACCTGCCGCTAACTATGGTGCATGAGCTATTCCCCACCTCCACTTTGCTTTCTAACAGTACTGCAGCAATTACATGGCCCGTTTGACTGGAGCAGTTCTAATCCTTGCCGAATAAAAGTGATCCTGAGCAGCTCTGGCTGTTCTGGGTGTCTGATGGTCTGCTGGGTTTGAGCTCTTGGCAGTGGGCAGGAAGGAGGTCAGCTCAGTGGGATGGGTTTGAGCATGGGGAAAATCATAGCATCAGAGGATGGTTTGGGCTGGAGGGGACCTTAAAGCTCATCTGGTTCCACACACATCCGTGGAAGGTGACAGTCCCTCCACCACCAAGGTGCAGCTCTGTGAGTCCCCACCAAAACTGGCAGGACTCTAAAGGGACGTGCTCAGGTCACTGGCACTCTTGACTAAACCTGTTTGTCCCAAATACTCTGTTTCAGCCCAAGCCTTAACATACCTGCACTACCAGCAAACAGGTCCCTGACCTCCTGGCGCCAAGCCCATGAGAAACAGTCACTGGCTCTCCTCCAGAATAATCCTTCTCGAAAACACTTAGAAAATGAGCGGGTTTAGGGGTGGTGGTTCCATTAGGCTTGCAGAGCACAGGGGGCAACCAGGTACTACTTGGGCACCCTTTCCTTTGGGTGTGTTTAGTGCCTTGAGTCCCCAGGTCAAGTCCTGGTAACCAGCACCGAGTCCTTACACCATTAATTCTGCGGGGATTCTGAACAGCGTGTTTCAGAGAGGACTTATTTCAAAAACTGGGCTTTATTCCTTTACCTGTGGGTGGAATTAAAAGCAAGAGCAATTAAATGCTAAGCAGTTACCAACATGTAGAGTTCTCATGTGCTTTGCAATAACTGCACCCGATATCCTTTTATATTTTCATAATGCATCTATCCTTCTACATTTCTCTCTTCCTGGAACTTGAGTAGTGTGATGGCTCCCTCCTTGTCTCCTTGCTATTGAGCCAACACCTTGAACTCTTTCAGACTGAAATGGGCATTTATGTTGCAGATGTTTATGTAATGTAAGCGGCAAAGGCTTGGGTTTGGTAAGTTTCTCTGCAGTGGTGTGGGTTTTCACCCATACAGGCACATTTGTATCAGCTCTGCTCAACAGTAACTCTGGTCAGTACTAACTCTGTTACTGTGTAAACAGCAATAGCAAAGTGCCCTGCCGGGACAGGGGCCATGGTACGTTGGTAAAAACGGAATGAAGCCCTCTGTGGTCTCCCTGATCAGTCAGCAAACCAGACATCTGGAACTAGGACATAACAGCTTTTTTCTTAGGAAATGGAGGAGTGTGTGAACTGAACTCACCTGTGAACAGCATTGTCTTGGTCTTTGCTCCTTTTTTCTCTTAGTATATATTTTTCCTCTAAGTTTATCCTTGTGTCAAAAGAAATTAGAAAGACAAACTGTAGGAGAGTCATGTCTGTCATCAGGCTGGCTGCTGCCACACTTAATAAGCACTCGAGCTCCCAGAACAGGAAACTCCCAATTAATAGTGATTAGAAACATTTTTTTTCATTGTAAATACTCTAGCACAGTGTACATCAGCAGCAGCGCTTCTCTGGTTACAGCTGTCATCTTCAGTCTTGTCTACCCTTGGATCTCAATGGAAAGATGGTCTTTCATTTATTCTCTGTCATTAACAAAGCTGATTAACTGGAATACATATGGAGGATCTTGGCCTGCAACAGATGTAGAGCCATGCCTGGACTGACTGCTCAATGCGTTAAGCAAGGAGAAAACATTCATCTGCTCTGCTAAAAGCTCACTAAAAGTGGGAACAGTCTGGGATGCTGCAAAAATAAAACCCAGGTTTGTGGTAGGAGTGACTGTGCATTCCCCCAACTGTTTATACACACGGCTTGTTCTGAGTGTGTTCTGCTGTTTGTTGTCTTGCTACATCATTAAACCAGGTCTCAACAGCCTAGGGAAAAAAAGAAATCCCGATGTAATGTGAGTTGTGTAATAAGGAATATGCAGTTAAGGCCAGATACCTTAACCTTGAGTCTGCGTTTCTATTGTCAGGTAACTTTGATAAAGGGCTGAGTTGCTCATGCCTCCTGATGTTTCCGTTAGTGTTGCTTAGCTCCCACTGTTCCTAATTGCTGATTATTTAAATGTTCACTTACGGGTTTAAAGAGGAAAAGCATTTTGACCTCACTTGGAACTGGGCATGTGTGATGGGACAGACTGATACTGCTGACAACATAATCCTGGTTACCTGAGTGCCGCTGCACCAGTCTCTTTCATCTGTAGAGTAACACCACGGTGAGGGCACCTGACACTGAGGCTGCCCTTTTGAGGGAGGAGAAAGCCCTAAACATGAAACGTCTGTGTTTAAATCCCTATAACCCAGTCCTTGATTCCCACAGCTCTATGTCCAAGCTATAGCTGTCCTTGTGTGTAGCTGCTCAGCTCTGGGTCCAGCCCTGCTAAAACTAATGGGAAGGACTTTCATTAACTGTAGAAACTAGATCCGGCCCTGAAAGATGGACAAAGACTTCTAACACTCCTGCTCCTGGTGAGTCTTTTATGCCTTCAGCTATCAAATGTGTACTGTGCTGAGCAGCATCATTAAAGATGCATGAGCCGTCAGTGTCTCTGTTTCCTGACAGGGCAGGCACATGTTCTGCCCAGGGCTCTGAGCAGCAATTCCAGCCTTAACAGTATCCTTGTGCTCTTTCACTTCACTGACAATCAAGACCTGATGAATTTGGAGCATCTCTGAAGTCAGACCTTCCAGGTACAGCTGTCTGGTACACTGATGGAAGGACTCAGAGACAAGCAGGGGTTATGCTGGATATGGGCTGCTCATTGGGGTGCTGGTCCAAGGAACTAACAGTGTGTGGTCACCCTTAGGAGAGGAGCAGGACCTGCAAGAAAGCACTGCAGCCATGGGAACAGATGGAGAGAAACTCCCCATGGATAAACTCATCTGGAAAATGGAAGATGAAGCTCCTTAGGCAGCAGAACCGGGAACTAAACAGGCTTCAGGATGCAGCAGGGCAGGTTCAACTCAAGGATTGTGTGATGCAAGTGTCAGACCAAACCAGGGGCTTGTGCCTGGGATTCAGGAAACCTGCCTCCAGTTTTTCTGTACCAAAGGGTCTGAGGCCAAGTTTCTGTCTGAGATTGGATTCAAAACTACACTAAACTCTTGTGGATCTGAACAGAAATGCCAGGTGCACCCTTAAACACTTCAGCTTGTCAAATACCTGAATGGCACAGAGGATTGTTTGGCTACATACCCTGTGTACTTGGTGTAAGCCAGATTATTGCACAATATTTTCTTAAACTTGGGAGAAAGCTCTCTGATGATGATCGGTCACTGATGAGTTTCAAGTGGAGTGCAACAGGAGATATTTTAATTAACCGCCAATCAATGACTGTCCAACAGAAGGTAGAAGGCCCTTTAATGGGATCAGTGTGTGATAGTGGGTAGAAAATGTCATGTTTCTCCTTTGGCAGTGCTCTGACCTTCCCTCTAACTGCTGCAGACTTCTGAAAAACTGGCATTTGCCTTCAAAATCAAAATCAAAAAGTGTTGCTTTCTGTATTTACCGCAGGCTCCTGTGATCTGGGCCTATGTTCTTGGGTCTGGGCTATTTCCGTATGTTTACTTTTTTTAATGGATTGAAGAAACCAGAGGCCAGAGAAACATGTCGTGGTGTGGGTGTCTCTTAGGATGCAGGAGACCCCATTTTGCAGCTGTACCAGACATGCCAGCACAGCTCCAATCTGGGTTTCTGTGCAGGTCTCTGCCCAGGCTGGACAGCAGGAGCATGGCAAGAATTTCCCAGATTTCTCTCAGCTTTGTGAAATACAATGTGAAGGAAACCCCTGTTCCACAGGTGAATTATGGGCTGGCAGTGTTCAAGGCCAGGTTGGACACAGGGGCTCGGAGCAAGCTGCTCCAGTGGAAGGTGTCCCTGCCCGTGGCAGGGGCTGGAACTGGAAGAGCTTCAAGGTCTCTTTCAACACAAACCAGCCTGGGATTCTATGACTTCTTCAAGGCCAGAAATTAACAAATTCAAGGACACTATCAGAAGTGATGGTTTATTTCCGTAAAGAGAAGAAAGTGGATGTGACTGCAAATGAAATAGCATCATCTTATCTAAAAGCTAAACAATTCTTTAGTCCAGTGCTTAGATCTTTTAGGATACTCTTACTTTGCCTAATGCGATCATTTCCTAAAAGCCTTCAGCACTGACCCAAGGACTGACCATGAGCGCCTGTTTTCAGGTAGCCAGAGGGTCTCACTTCTGATTCAAAGTCATTTGGATGCTGTTGTTTGAGGGTCCCCTCTTCTTGAGTTGCTGTCACTTCTAAACTCACTAAGACAGCATCTGTTGATAATGTGTTAGTGCAAGGAGCTTGTGCGGTACCAGAAGTGTGCCGTGCTTTTATGTTTTGCATGCGAGTTGCATCTAGGCCTCAGAACATCTTCTCAAAGGTTCCCACAGGTGCAAAGGTGTTGAGTTAAAGCAGCTTAATTCTGACCTTCAACATCTGCAGCCAGCTGCAAAGTTTGCACCTTGAGACAACCTTTCTGATGAATCTCCCCCACCTGCTGTGAGGAAGGGGAGCACCAGGCACCAGCTGCCACCCCAGGGCTGGAGGAGAGAAACGCGATGCAGAGCCGTGAGAACAGAAACGATTTTCAGCCCCCACACTGCAGGCAGAAGGAAATGCTGTGCTGTTGAGAGGCTCTTCCCCAGAGCCTGTGGAGGTGGCACCAACCCCACAGGTTTCTCTGCAGGAGCCATGGCAGGGGACTTGAAGCGCTACAGAAAATGGAGGGATTAATTCTGTGATTAAAGCCCTTGTTACTGAAGGTGCTGCTGCTGCTCCAGTGGGCTCTGAACTGCTGCACTGTGTGAGGAGCTGGGAGGAGGAAACCGCCACCAAAGCAACCCTTCCTCCAGAGAGCTGCCTTTGTGCTTCCGGGAAAGAGGAGGAAGGAATAGCAGCCTTTGGTAAGGGTGAGCTGTGCAAACAGTGGGTGTTGATCAATTATCTTTTTTCTTTCGCTGTGTTTACAAGGTACAAACTGCCACCGGCACCGCCCCAAGTCTTGCTGGTTTTTGTGGTGGTGAGGATACACTTCGATAACTTATTGGAGTGTTGGGAAGTCATCATGCCAGTTTAGTGCCTCCTGCCCAGGCTGGTGTAGGCTTTCTTAGCTCAGATGGAGTAACAGTCCCCAAGGCCAAGGCCCCTCCTGCCAACGTTTGCAAAATTGTTATTTTACTGATTCCATGCCCAAGAATGAAAGATGAGTTACTCTTGACTTCTCTGGCTGCAGCACTTTATTGTTCTGCTGATTTGAGCCAGATCTGTTGTACCCTCTCTCTTTGCCTCCTAGTTTATTCTTCATCTAATCTTTGATTTCCTTTCATAGCCCTCTACTGAAATGAAGATCCCAGATACACCCCTCATCTCTTTTAGTCCCATATTTCTGCTGCTGCTTTCAGCTTTCCCTTGGTACCCTTCTGTGTCCTTTTCTCTCTTACTGATTTCCTTCGCCTAATTTTCTTTTTTCATTCAGCCCCTGGTTACGTGCCCTTCTGTAAGATGTCTGAGAGCCTTTCCATATCTTCAGCACTTTCCAAGACCTTGTGTCTGTTGTTTGTTCCCTTGTTTGCCCTTTTACAGAGAATAACCAATGTCAGTGTTCTGACTCATGTATCTTTCTGTAGATCATGTTTCACCACTGGCACCCCTTGGTTTGAGCATAATTTCCTTTTCTTGTCCCTTGCTGCTTCCTTCATACCAGCCCACAATCCACAGCTGAATCGCTCCTCTCCTGCCACCACTCCACAATTCCCCTTGTGTTGCACTGCTCATTTCCTCCTGCTCTCTCTGTTTGAACCCTCTTGCCCTCGCCATTAAGACTGTAAGGTTAACACTTCTGTTTTCTCATCTCCTGCACTCTCCTGGTGTTTTCCAAACCTCCCCTGCCCAGTTGACTTTACCTCCTGCGCTGGGCAAGCCCCAGTGCTTGAAGCAGCCCATGTTCACCAACCGTGACCAACTTCTGCCTTCACTTCTCGTGTCATGGCTTGCTGCTTCTTATCCCAAGCCCTTAGTGTGCTGCCAGATGTTGCCCATGAGCACTGCCCAGCTGTGCCGGGCTATTGCATAGGACACCAGAGCGTAGGTTGCTCTTCTGCTTTGCAGAGGCTCATGCTCATGCTCATTTGCAGTAGGTTTAAGTATGGATATGGTCTATTTCCTTACAATCCACATCGCTTCTTAGTGATGGTAACTCTTAGCTGGGGTAAAATACATTGGGAGACCTTGAAAGATCATGAAAAGAAAACTTTGCCATGGAGTTAAGCCTGCAGAGATGGAAATGCAAATTGAGGAAACAAGAGGGGAAATGGGGCAGCAGCTTCAGCCCATGCATGGCACTGCTGTCACAGCTCCTCCTGCGGCACCTGACTCCCCTGCAGCCTGCCCACGCTCAACCCTGCTGTTTTGACAAGTTGCCACCATGCGAGTGACAGGCACGTGCTCTACAGAACAAGGATGTGAATTTTACTGTCCCCTCACTTCTACATTACTAAGCTCCCAGCACAGCCCAAGACTGGCAGCCCTTTGTGCATCCGACCTACAGGGTCTGCTGAGTGTCCTTCAGTTGCTGCAGGTTTCCATCTATGATTTTAATCCAGAAGAAGCAATTTGGTGGCCAGCACCTAGTGTGACAGCTGAGTAACTCATGTTTTACAAAAGCACAAGAGGAGAAACCTCTTCTTGGGCCCAGGTGAAACCTCTCCAGCAAATAGTGAACTTGCTAAAGAAACAGAACTGCCTGTGAAATTGCATTGAACACTGGATAAGGAAGGAGGTGCTAGGAACTGTGCCTCTGAAAATGCTGGATGTTTACTAGTGCTTTTTATGAAACTTTACTTTTGAAATATCTTTTTTCTTAACCTGGATCTCTAATCTTTTAAATTTGTACCCCCCAAAAAAAGGAAAAAAAAACAAAACAAAGAATCTTGACTGTATTAAAGAGCAATAAATTGTATTTCTACTCTAGTTTCAAAGCTTTGTGCTGGCAACAGAAGCAAGAAATTTGACTTGCCAGCAAAGCCGAGGGTGCTGAGGATGCCTACAGGCACTCTGACATGTGCACCCCTCCCTCTGCCCTGGATCTCCACCTTCTCCATTCCTGAGCTCTGGGCACCACAAGGGCCCGATTATGTGGTAGCTGTTACTTATCTTCCCAATGACAATGCTCATATCCAGATCTGAATAGCAAACGAGTTGGTTTTGGTGTTTGGTTTTGATCCTCTAGCTGTTCAGATGCATTTCAGGTCTTTGCATTGACTCACAGGTTTGGAGTGGAGCCAGTTTGTGTGACTGCCCCATCATTACTATACATGCCTCAGAAAGCAGCTGTGCTTACAACACATTTTACATAAACAAACAACTGAATCATGGACTTCAGAGACTGGTCCAGCGTTGCTCGGCTCTCCAGTGCCCTGGGCTGAGGCTCCAGCTGCCAGACTTGGGCTTTGGAAACCTGCCTCTGCTCTGTGCAAGCCCATGGCTGCCAAGGTCTTTGGCTGGTGAGGATCTAAGTCTTGTCTGAGATCTAGAGGGGAGACTGAGATGAGCTCGTAGGCAGAAGCTCTTCCCTGGGAGGGTGCTGAGGCACTGGCACAGGGTGCCCAGAGAAGCTGTGGCTGCCCCATCCCTGGCAGTGTTCAAGGGCAGGTTGGACACAGGGGCTTGGAGCAAGCTGCTCTGGTGGAAGGGGTCCCTGCCTGTGGCAGGGGTTGGAACTGGAGGAGCTTTAAGGTCCCTTCCAACCCAAACCAGTCTGGGATTCTATGATCTGTAACTAAACTGTAACTTGGATAAAAATTTCTCCTCTCGTCTCATTCTGCACCTACACCTCTGTGAATCCAGTGAAGAGGAGGACATGGGCATTCTTCTCATCAGCTTTGTTTTCCAGGTTTTTGCATGTACAAATACAGCGATAAAACAAGCTTGTACACAATAAGACATGTCTCCATGTGTCACTTGGTGACTCTTAAAACACGGTTCTGCCATGTTGCATCAGTAATATATGAATCCTGACAGAGCTCCCAGACACTCCTTGGAGAAAACTCCCACCTTCAGCAGACTTTCACGCTCTGGATGCTCTC